GGGCGGCGTCGTCGGCTCCCGAGCTGCAGCAGGCCGCTCGCCACTCGCCATCACCTGGGGCTGCTGCGGCGCCGGTGCGCTCGGTGCGCTGCGCGCCAGCGGGCCGCGGCCGTTCCCACGCTGCGGTGTGAGGGAGGCCCGGCGCTTGACAGTAATTTTTGAGATGTTTCTTTGCAGTATTACAGCGAAGGGAAACAAAAACGTGCCATTTCCATTCAAACACATTTCTTGGGTAAATATTTCGTTAGTGTGCCTAGTGTACGCTGTGCTCAGAACAATCCTCCCCTAATGTAAAAACGTTACCACGTTTGTATTTCACCTGTGACGGAAATTTACTTGTTTTCAAGTCTATGAGTTTTTTGTTTTTCTTTCTTTTCTTTCTTTTTTTTTTTTCCTTTTTTTAAAAATGTATTTAGGACAAGGTCTACAGGGTCTCACTACTTCGGACTCGTAGTGATCCTTCTGTTTTTAGCCTCACTTGCTGGGGTTACAGGTGCGCGCCGCCAGGCCTGGTCTCAATGGCCGTCTCAGCGAGCCCTGGCCGCTGAGCTCTGCTCAAGCAGGCGCTTTAGTCCGCTGAGCTATCCGGCTGGCTCCTCGAGTCTAGTCTTGAATTGTATTTTAGCTACCACATTAAAAAGCGGAAACTACATTATTTACCAACACAATGTTCAAATGTCACCAGGTGTGAGCCTGCAATCCCGGCTGAGTGAGGCTGAGGCAGGAGGATCCCTCCTAGCTAGCTGGAGGCCTGCTGGGGGGCTCCACATCCAGATCTGGTCCAGAATAAACTTTGTGCTTTTTTTTTTTTTTTTTTGCGGAACTGGGGATTGAACTCAGACCCTTGCACTTGCTAGGGAAGCGCTTATTACACTGAGCCATCTCCCCAGCCCACTTTGTGCATTTTTATTAAAATTGTCCGTCTCTTCCTCTAGACAGTTTATCCTGCATTTCCTGGCTGGCCTCAAACACATGCACTGAAGACATCTCTTGCTTGGCCTCCTCGTCCTGTTGGGTGCTGAGGACGCGGGGGCGAGGAGGGCCCTAGAGTACACTTTAGATTCAATACGAAAGCCACTTAGGGTGTGGTGAAAATGATCAAAGGATATATGCATGGACGAAGCTGCCAAGATGAAGTCCTTGGATCCGTGTAGCCGACAGTGAAAACACCTACAGGAGACCTGGTGTGAGGTTGGCATGTATAATTAGCTCACTTTCGCTGGCCCACAATGTCTACCTCCTCCGAACAGTGTGTCAACAATAATACATACAAGGGGCCGGGGAG